TATGGAAAACGGGTACCCATTACCCGTACGGGACGGATAACGGGTACCCATACTACTACCCATAAATACCCAAAGTTTAAATCACTAAAATTTTAACAAAAGTTTAAACTTAACTTGTGCTTGCTTAACAATCACAAAATCCATCCCAATAACAAATATTCGGTTTGCAAATTACACATTCATGAACAATCACAACTAGGGTTGTTAATGAGCCAAGCCGAGCCGAACTTTGCCATAGCTCGAGCTCAGCTCGTTAATATATTTCCAGGCTCGAGTTCATCACGAGCTATAATATGCAAGATCAAGCTCGACTCGTTCATGAAAACAAAAGCTCGAGCTCGAGTTTGGCTCGCTAAATAACCCTTAAGAGCCTAAAATCGAGTTCAACACACAAAATATTCATTATAGCTCAAGATTGAGCTAAAACTAAGCGCAAAATTACATTCAAACCTCCATCAAAGTCTAGCAAAACAAAACACAATATTTATTCCAATTTCAATACATAAAATCCATAAATTTCAATCCTTTCTAATGTCAAACTGTTAAATGAGCTTGTTCGCGAGCTCTTGAGCTGAAGATGGTATGGCTCGAGTTCGGCTCGTTTAGTAAACGAGCTTGTTCGTGAGCCAGCTCGATTAAGACAAATCGAGTCTCGAACGAGTTTTTCTCGAATCGGAAATAAATCATTCCAAGCACCAAACTATCAAATAAGAAGATCCATTCAACACAACCAAATGGGGAAGGCATGCTGCTGCTGTTCTGCTTCTGCAAGCTGCTGCTACTCTGTCTTCTACAAGCTGCTGTTGGTCGCCTTCTGCAAGCTGTTGCGGTTCTGCCTTCTACAAGTTGCTGTCGTGCTGCTGTTCTGCAAAGGAAGAAGAGCTATGAGCAAAAGGGTTAAGGGCAGGCTGGACAACGAACCAGAGGAATCCTTAACTTGAAACAGAAACTAACTAAATGGGATAGTATAATCGACAGGGTAAAGTTCAAAACTTATGTATATTAGTATATGTTTGATGCCCGCCGAAATGGGTTCTGATTTGGGCTAGGCTGATAATGAATAATAATTCTCCCTTTGAATGGAAATAACGGGTACTCATATTACCCAAACGGGTATTTGTGGGTAACCCGTGGGTACTCAAAATAGGAATGTACAATCCCAAGTCACATCCGTTGATAATATTTACAGATAATATGGGTACTCGTACCCTAAAAAAACGGGACGAGTACGGGTATACCCAAATACCCGTTTCCTGTTGCTCACCTCTAACCAAACCCAATTACTACAAGGACTTCTCAAAGGATACTCAAAAGTAAATCCGTACAAATTTGACTCAAAGCGGACAATATCATACCAATAAAGTACTCAAGTAACATAATCGATAAGACCAAATTTCTTCCATCGAAATCTCTTGCAGTATTTCACTTGGAGATCAACAAAATGGTTAGGAGTAAACTTGGAAACATACTTGAGATTTATTTTGGTGTGGAAACAACAAAATTTAGGATTATAATTTATAAATAAAGAAATCAATAAGCAAAGAGAGGGAGAGAGAGAGCGTGCAAACACGACATGGACAAAAGTACTACCCTTCCACCACGTTGGTAGTGGGCAATGGTCGGTTGGTCATATGTTAATTCTTTGGGTACCAAAACCGACAAACCCAAAAAAAAAAATTGAAATATTATACCACTCTCTCCTTTCTTCACACACAGTCTCTCTTTCCTTCCAAGACTCACTCTCCCTTCTTTCTTTCTTCCCTCTGTTGTTTTCCTTCCGCTCTCCTCTCCCTTTCCGCGCTTCCCTTCCCAAATCTTTCGCTCCCACAACCCAAAGATCGTTTCTTTTCTTCCAATCCAACCAAGAAAACAACCCCTCTCCCTCTCTCTCGCCCTCTATAACCATAACTTATTTTCCTTTTCTTTTTCATCTCCCAGTTGTGGCTGCTCTCTGCTAAGGAAAACCCATATGAGGAAGCTCTGTCCAAATCTCTATCGGGAAGATGGGCTGGACACGGTTTTGGAGGTACCCATCCCAGAAGAAATGTTCAGCTCCTCGGGGAACAACAAGAATTACTCGTGGCAGAGTATGAAGGCCTGGATGACGAGGCCCAACGCCGCCGTCGCCGGCGGCGGTTATAACAATGACCAGAAGGCGGCATTTGGGGAGAAGAACACCGAGATTCAGCTCTTGTTGGGTGTTGCTGGCGCCCCATTAATCCCTTTCCCTATCAGCTCTGATCATCAGTTGGTTACCCGGAATTTTAAGAACCAGCCGATTGTAAGTTTTTTTTTCTTCTGTCCGCTAAGTGTTTGATCAAATGGCTCTGAGAATGTTGTTTGTTTTGTTGTTTTAAGTGGGGGTCAATGTGTTAATGACGTGGTGTCGGGTGTGCAGGAGTTATCAATGGCGAAATACATTGTGCAGCAGTACGTGGCGGCGGTGGGTGGAGAAACGGCTCTGAATTCGGTGGAGAGCATGTGCGCAATGGGGAAGGTGAAAATGGCTGCCTCTGAATTCTCTTCAGGGGAAGGCACGACGAACAACAAGGTGGTTAAGGTGAAGAATTCGAAAAGTGGGAGTGGGGAGATGGGTGGTTTCGTCCTGTGGCAGAAAAGGCCCGAGCTTTGGTGTTTGGAGCTGGTGGTGTCAGGCTGCAAGATTAGTGCAGGCAGTGATGGTAAAGTGGCTTGGAGGCAGACTCCTTGGCACCATTCTCATGCTTCCAGAGGTCCCCCTAGGCCGCTCAGGCGTTTCCTTCAGGTAACTAAAAACACTTACTTCATCTCCAAAACTGGGACCAATTGAGAGCTTGTTCTTATTATCTCATCTTTGTTATGATTGGTTTGTGGACTGTGACTTGTCATCTGATATAAGATTCTGTTCTGATTTCCATGGTCCTGTTGTGTTTGCGGATTTTCCAATTGACTGGCTGAATGTAGTAACCAGATGATGCTATTGCTACCCTCTTTAGCAAAAAGCCAATTGAGCCTCCAATCTGTTCTTTATGGTGGTTGTTTTGGATTGGTTTCTTGGAAGAAGGAATGAAACCACCAACTAGCAGCCACCAAGCCATGAATTTCATGTTCACATGTAAAACATCAAACTTTGTCCCACCACTTGTAGGCTCACACTCCCTTTTGGTGGGACCTTAGCCCACCAAAACATTTTATCAGGTTGTTAGCCTTTTCTTCTCGTTTGGTATAGTAGTCTTTGCCCACTAAGTTTATTTTCCCTTCTTCTTCATGATAAAGTCAACAAATTTGTGGAATAGAAAATTGCAGTTCAGAAATGTCAACACAATGGTTTGAATGCATTAGAAATTAGGAAGTTCAATCAGCTGTTACTTAGTTAATCATGGGCCATGCCATGATGCAGGGCAGCCCACCAACCATAGTAGAGAGCTATCTCAAGCCAAAGTCCAAACAAAATCTCATTGTCTTCACACAACTAACCTGAATTTCCGATTTCTGAACAGGGTCTTGATCCAAAATCAACAGCCAACCTATTCTCCAACTCAACTTGCATGGGCGAAAAGGCGATCAATGGCGAGGACTGTTTCATGCTGAAGCTGGAAGCAAACCCTTCATCGCTACTATCAAGAAGCACCAGCAATGTGGAGATCATAAGGCACACAGTATGGGGATACTTCAGCCAAAGAACAGGGCTTTTAGTCCAGCTAGAGGACTCCCATCTCTTGAGAATCAAAGCACCAGGAAACAACAGTGTGTTGTGGGAGACGACGATGGAGTCGACAATACAGGATTACAGAACGATAGATGGGATCAATATCGCTCATGCAGGGAGGACGAAGGTGTCGTTGTTCAGGTTCGGGGAGAATTCAGAAAGCCATTCAAGGACAAGGATGGAGGAAGTTTGGGAGATTGAGGAGGTCGATTTCAACATCAAGGGGCTGTCAATGGACTGTTTCCTTCCGCCTGGTGACTTGAAGAAGGACGAAGAAGAAGGGTTTGGGGTGATGGGTAAAGGTAACAATGGCGAGAAGCTGCCTTCGAAGATTCGATCTGGTTCTGCCAAGATCAGTGCATCTAAAGTAGTTGCTATTGATGTTGAGGTTCCTGATAATCTTGAAGAGAATGATGATGATGAAGAGGAAGATTGGTGATGAATTGGTTTTTGTTTGGATGGGAAGTATGAGTTGTGTAAATATCGATCATCGCAATCACCATGATGACCCACCAAGTTTTTGTTATTTTAGCCTTAGCATTAAACTCTCAATATTTCTACATATAAAAGGAAAGGTCTTAGTAATATTTCCCAGTATGTCCCTTTTATAATTTCTACCATATAAAGTGAGACACAAGTGTAACATCGGCATAAGTTCATTGTATATAAAGCATATGGCTTGGAAGTTTGAAATTACTCTTGTAGGGTTTTTATTGTCATAGATATAAATCTTGTAGTTATTTGAGTGTTGCTAAAGTATATATAGTTAAAATAAATTGGAAATACTAAACTTGTGTTGTTTCTTTTTGTGAAAAGAAGCAAGGTAAGAAGAACTAGGAAAATATTGTCGAAGATGGCTCAATAGTAAGTTTATACACATTTGGTTTAGTGGTAAAATCATTAATGTTGAACCTGAAAGTTTGAATTTTTTAACAAGTACTAACGGTAAAAACAAAATTATATCACGTTTATAAAAAAAGAGTAAGCTTATATATAGGTTGAAGGAATTACCAAAGCCATAAACATTGTTTGATCGACTACCACATTTGACTTTTGAACTACTTTGTAACTCTTGTTACGTTCTTATTTATATTTGCCTATGATAAAAAAAAAACATAATAAAAATAAATCATGTGTAATAAGCATGTAGACTATCATTAACTAAGAAAACCAACGACCTAATATGCTTTGGATTTGAAAGAATCAAGAATGATGTTGCATTGAGTTTTGACGGGTAGAGTAACTGGAGGTGACAAACGAATTGAATTCGTGAATTTAAGAGATATATAACTTTTGAATCATTCTGAAAAGTTCGAAAAGTTTAGATACTAAATTAAAAAAACAACAAATATACAGATGCTAAAATACAATTTACAACAATGATTGTATCCGACCCATAAATCTACCAATCGAGAAGAGTGGACAATCATTTACATCTATTTCACTTCACCTACCATAAATATAGCCGGCACAAACTCAACATCACCTGAATTCAATGGCAGAAGCAGCGAAAATTGATCAACAAGCCTCTGCAATCCCACACGTACTCGTCTTCCCACTCCCAGTTCAGGGTCACATCACCTCCATGCTCAAACTCGCCGAGCTCCTCTCCCTCGCCGGCGGCGGCGGCATCCGGGTCACCTTCCTCAACTCCGACTACAACCACAAGCGCCTCCTCCAGTTCTCCGACGCCGAATCCCGGTCCCAAAACTACCCCGGGTTCCGGTTCGAAACCTTCGACGACGGTCTTCCCATGGACCAGCTCACCAAGGGCGAGAAGGTCTCCGAATTGCTCGGAGAAATGGACTCGAAAACCCGGCCAGTTTTCAAAAATTTACTGGTTCAGATCCAACCACCGGTCACCTGCGTCATCGGAGATGGCTCTTTGGGGTTCATCAGCGACGTTTCATTGGAAATTGGGATTCCGATTATTCGATTCCGCACCATCAGCCCCTGTTTCTTCTGGATTAACTTCTGGCTGCCGGAAGTTATCCAGGCCGGCGAGCTCCCAATCATAGGTACGGCTAGAATTTTAGAGGGGTGTCCATCTGGGTTCGGTTTTCCGATTTAAATCGAAACCAAATCAATTAGTTGCATTGTCGGGTTTTCGTCTTCGTGTTTGTTTCGGGTTTTACGTTCAGTTTTACTTATTGGGTTTTCGGGTTCGGCTGAAAAACCTTACGGTGTAGCACCTGGGTCATATCCTTATTAGGGGTTTCAATTTTTTGGGTTTTGGTTTTGCTTTAACCGAACTCAAAATCGATAATCAAGTTTTTGTTTCGGTTTGAAACAAAAAAAAAAAATTTATCGGTTCTGATTCGATTTTCAAGATAATAGTTTTGATTTTTTAGTGCATTGTGTTCGGTTCGGGAGACTGAAATCGACCCGAACAGACACGGCCCTAGCTGATCCGAATTTGTTATGTCGGAATTAAAATATATATTATTACTTATTAGTTAAATAACATGAATTGATTCTGAGGTTTTTTATTATGTGTTGGGATTGAAAAGGAGAGGAAGATATGGAGAGGCTGATTACAAAAGTGCCAGGAATGGAATCTTTCCTACGGTGCAGGGATCTACCCGGGTACTGCCGGGCAGGTACCGACGACCCGACCATGATTCAGGTCGTAAAGGCGACGAGAGAATCTTCTTCACCGGCGTATCCTCTCATCCTCAACACGTTCGACGATTTGGACGGCCCAATTCTGGCCCGAATCCGCCAACGCCTCCCCAAAACCTACACAATTGGGCCGGCCCACGAACACCTGCAATCACGGCTCGGGACGGCCTCATCGTCCAGCAGTCTGTGGAAGGAAGAAGCGAGCTGTCTGACGTGGCTGGATGCTCAGCCACCTGGCTCCGTGCTATACGTCAATTTCGGGAGCATCACGATGATGAGAAGAGACCAAGTGATCGAGTTCTGGGAAGGCCTGACCGGTAGCAAGAACCGGTTTTTGTGGGTCATCAGGCCCGGTTCGGTTTGTTCAGGAGAGATGGCTGATGATGTCCAGATGCCTGAAGAGTTAGTTGAAGGAGTTGAGAAGGGGAATTTGAAGGTCCTGGTGGGTTGGGCGCCTCAGGAAGCGGTTCTGGGTCACGAGGCGGTTGGTGGGTTCTTGACCCACAGCGGGTGGAACTCGACCCTGGAGAGCATTGTGGCTGGCGTTCCGATGATCTGCTGGCCGTTTTTTGCGGACCAGCAAGTGAACAGTAGGTTTGTGAGTGAGGTTCTGAAGTTGGGTTTGGATATGAAGGATGTCTGTGACAGAAGGGTCGTTGCGAGGATGGTGAACGAGCTGATGGTGGAGAGGAAGGAAGAGTTTCGGAGGAAGGCTGTGGAGATGGCGAGAATGGCGAAGGAGAGTGTCGAGGAAGGTGGATCGTCGTACAGGAATTTGGAGCTTTTGATTGAAGATATCAAGCTGATGAGTAGTTCTCAAGTGCAGGGGTTGGGGGAAATTGGGAATTAATGTAGAAGCAACATTATGTTTCGGTGTAAACGAGAAAAGCAGTTTAAAATTCAGCTACATTGCCTCTTGCAGTCTTGCTGTAATCTGTTCTGGTCACTAAAAGTATACAGCTATCTAAGTTGCTATGGTTGGTTTACCCATGATTTATCCTAAGTATTAAGCTTCAGTTCATAAGCCCGAGCTAAGTTTCAGGGAGAGGAAACTCAAGAACATACAACAATTACTAGCTAGTCAATGAGTGGAGATGGCATACCCTAGCACGACAATATGCTGCTGATCAGGCTGTCCAGACATTGGTACGACGATCCGCCTTGCTTAAGAGAACCATCAATCTTCTCCTTCCAAGCGAGGCTTTTCCGTCTTATTTCTACCCCTTCATCCTCTACCATTAGCGTTCTGATTGCTTTCTCTATCGCAGCTCTATCCCTCTTATCCTCCAAGTGAATCCCAACTCTCCAAACATCACTTACATACCTTGCGTTCACCTTCTGGTCACCAAACGAGGGGTGGCAGATCATTGGAACCCCTTCACAAATGCTCTCAAACGTCGAATTCCATCCACAGTGCGTCCAAAACCCACCAACCGCGGGGTGAGCAAGCACAGCCTGCTGTGGCGCCCATTTCACAATTTCTCCCCTTCCACATACCTTCTCGAGAAACTCATCGGACAAGAGTTCCAACCATTCTGATCCCTGCACTGATCCAGGTCGAACCACCCACAGAAACGGCTGCTGGCTATTCGCCAGGCCATATGCAATCTCCAGGAACTCGGTTTGAGTCAGAACTGCCATGGTGCCAAAGCTCACATAGATTACCGAGTTTGGAGCTTGTGTGTCTAGCCAGGAAATGGAGTCCTGAGATTCTGCTGGTGAGCTGCTAGGTGGGAAGTAGTTGTGAAAGGGGCCTATGTTGAAGATAGGGACATTAAACACTTGGCGACACTTCATCAGGGCGTCTTGTTCCAAGTCTTCAGACGAGTTCCAGATGAGACCCGAGGAAGCATTGACCGTCCTAATCATGCCAGCAACCAGATAGAAGAAATCCTCAGGCTTTTTCATCTTGATCTCTGGTAAGTCCTTCACCTTCAACGGCGGGAGCTCCGGGACAAGCTCTTCTAACCGAGATTCTATAACAACAAGCCATCACAAAACCCATCAGCACCATACCCAAAAGTTTAACAGCCAAATGAAAAACTGAACCTTTTTAAAATCCATCTACTGCACATACCTTTGACAGGCATGTAACCTTTCTGCAGGAGGAGGGGGAACGAATTGTAAACAAGGAAGGAACAAGCATTACTCGTGCGTAACACAAACCTAGGGAGCTTAGCAGCATCTGCAATCCCCCGAGTGAAATGCCAACTAGCATCCACAATCAAAGAAGCAACGGGCTCATCTGTGTTCTCAGAAAGTAAAATTGACAAGTGCTCTTGCAATGTCTCGGCCAACTTCTCGTTGAAGAGTCCAATGAGAGATGTAGCATCCATGGAAGACGATTCATTTTCGGATAACCCTTCCGGGATCAGATGGAATGTGAAAAATGGGTACTTGGAAGGATCCGGTGAGTTGAAATTGTTGTGGAGTATGGTGATGGAGAAACCCTTGGAATAGAGGATGTGAGCTAGCTGAATCATGGGGTTGATATGGCCTTGTAGTGGAGTAGGGAAGAGCAGTAACCGGCGCATCTTCTTTTGCTGAACGTGTGATTCTCTAAGGGCATCCATGATTCTCTTCTGCTGCTTCTTGTTCCTTCCTTCGTCGTGTAACTAGCTCAACAAGCCTGCAACAGATTGAAAATTGGAACACCCTTTCGTCAGCATAATCAAATTCCTAGGATTAGATGCTCGAAACCCATTAATCCCACTAATGATTTGTTCAGAATACGGAATCTAAACATTAGAAAGTGCAAAATCAAATCCGCAAGAATGAATCTCTTCAGTATAGAAAGAGCCGAAGTGGATACAGAGCCATAAAACCGACAGATAGAAAAGGAAAGCGTCGGTGTAAACAAGTATATCCAAGCACTTAATACCGTTATAAGAAGCCCCCGCCTTTGGAGAAGATTAGCGGCAGGAGGTGTTGTGGAAACGGCAACCGCCGGCGATTGAAGTCTGGGAGGCACGGCGAACCGATGGAGTCTTCATAAAATTCCGGCCCCGAGTTCTGTTGTTTTTCCTTATGCTTTCCTTTTTGGCTGCTTTGATAGGATAGCCGCGTCCCGCGTGCAAAGATCTTCCTGATCTGTACTCTCTTTTTTGTGGCGAAGGTGAAAACTGAAAAGTCTCGCCGCCGTGATCCAAAACCCGACATTAGTACAGAGTAAGGTGAATAGCTTAACCATCACTTATGTTTGAACTCGCTAACAAATTGGTCCTCTACGTTTTTGCTAACTAACAAATTGGTGCTCAAATTGTAGCGTGATGTGCCAAGTGGGAAGTGCCAAACGCATTGGTCATTTATATTTCTTCCCAATACACATATCTAATAAAATCACCCTTTTTCAGAATTCCACCATTCAAACATGTGACAAAAAATCAACGATCACAAATGTCGTTGGTTGTTAATGAACCAAGCGGCACATGAACAACTCGACGTTCGATTCGATAAAAGTTTGTTAAACATTCGATTTATTTATAATTGAATCGACTCACGAATAAGCTCGTCAATTAACTAGCCTGGCTTGACATTGTCATATTCAGGTCGTTAACCTCGCGAACAAGCTCGAAAGACTTTAGAAAGTAATTTTGAGTTAAGTTCGAGCTTGAGGTTGAAGTACAAACATTTAATATTTTGAACTTGATTTTTGCTTGTTAAATTCATTTCGAAAGCCTAAAATCGAACTTCTATTTTTTTTAAACGAGTCAAACTCGAAATTGCCAAGTAAAATTAGCGTCGAATTCAAACCGAACCCAAAGTTGGAATTATTTTAACAAACCAAACACGAACCACAACAAAGTTCAGCTCGACTCAAATCATTAACCGTCCTAACTTAAAGGAACAGAAATTACTGGTGAGCTTATTCGAGCTGCGGCAGCGGCACCAGCTAGAAGAGCAACCACTTAAAGGAACAGAAATTACTGGTGAGCTTATTCGAGCTGCGGCAGCGGCACCAGCTAGAAGAGCAACCTGCAAATAGGCTTGAAATTGCAGATAAGTCCACTGTAAAGAATCTCAACTCCACTCATACAGTAGCCAATTTTAGCCATTTATTTTCCGGAGCCCAAAACTGAACAAGATTCGATGAATCAACGATTCACAATGACAAAATGTGATCAACCAAGCTTTGACCATCTTCATACGACGAACCCCCTGGTTTCAGGCAGAGTTCCATCTTCTCCTTCAGAGCCCCAGCCCTTTCCCTAATTTTCCGACCCTCTTCCTCCACCATTAATGCCTTTACAACCTTCTCAATTTCCCCTCTCTCCATCTTCCACTCCAAATGAATCCCTATCCTCCAAACATCGCTGATGTACCTCGCATTCACCAATTGGTCACCAAAGCTCGGCGCACAAATCATGTGGACGCCCTGAGACATGCTCTCTAGGGTCGAGTTCAATCCGCAGTGAGTCCAGAATCCTCCCGTCGACGGGTGCGCCAGAACTTCTTCCTGCGGAGCCCATCTGACGATATGGCCTTTCCCGGCCACCGCCTGATGAAACCCATCTGGTAAAACCTCGATCCACTCTGAGTTCTCGACTGAGTTTGGTCGCACCACCCACAGGAATGGTTGCTGGCTGTTGGCGAGTCCCCTGTTAGAGAGTGACATAAGATCCAGGAGAACCTTCTCCCAACAACTCGAGTTATTGGGACCAACTGGTTCTTGACATGGTATCAGAGCCTTCTGTGACCGAGAGGTCTTGTGTTCGATTCCCGGTGACCCCCATTTGTTAAGCACATGGTATTCTTGTCTTCAGACCTGTGCAAATTTCAAGCCCTTGTGAGTGGCTTTCGTTTGAGGGGGCGTGTTAGTATTGTGGTATATGATCCACGATTGCAGTTGTAGACAGAATATTATTGTGATCAAAAGACCTAATTTGTATTTATATTTCCCTCAATATTTATACACTGTTACAGAAGATACAGGGGAGTTTGTTGAGTGATTGAAGGAGAAAGTGCAGGGGAGTTGAGGAGTGGAAACGTGATGAGTGGGAGCAAATAAATAAATGAAAAAGAATTGTTATTCTTTTTCTCTAATACGCCCCCGCAAGATGGAGGAGGTATCAACGACGGCAATCTTGGATCGAAGGAGAGTGAACCGTGGGGCAGGCAGCGGTTTGGTGAGCGTGTCCGCCAGTTGCTGGGCAGTGGGAACATATGTGACGGTGAGGCGGCCGGCTTGTACTAATTGGCGGACGAAGTGATAGTCGAGCGCAAGGTGCTTCATGCGGGAGTGAAAGCGAGGATTGGAGCTGAAACTCGTGGCGCCTAAATTGTCGGAGAAGAGCGTTGGGGAAGAGTGGAGCGAATGGTGGAGTTCCTGTAAAAGATTCTGCACCCATTCCAATTCAGCCGTGGCGTGGGCAATTGCCCTGTATTCAGCCTCAGTACTAGATCGAGCCACTGTCCGTTGCTTTTGCGATTTCCAGGAAATGAGGGTGGAACCCAAGAAGACAAGATAGGCAGAGGTAGAAGTCCGATCATCCTTGTCACCAGCCCAATCGGAATCAGCAAAGGCAGTGAGATGAAGAGGGAGAGTAGTGCGCTGAATAGTCAGACCATAGGAGAGGGTGCCACAAATGTAACAGAGTAGACGCTTAAGGCATTGCCAATGGTTGTTTGTAGGTGCATGCATATACTGCGAGAGTTTGTTGACCGCGTAGGCTATGTCAGGGCGAGTGTAGACAAGATATTGCAGCGCCCCCAGAACCTGGCGATACCGAGTTGCGTCAGTGGGAGGAGTGCCATCAGAGAGTGTGAGGTGCGCCGATGAGGCCAGAGGGGTAGAGACAGGGGTGGCATCCAGCATACGAAACCGGGTGAGTATATCAATCATGTAGCGATGTTGAGACAAAACATAGCCAGAGGCTGTGGGAATGATCTCAATGCCCAAAAAATAGTTCACATCACCGAGTTCCTTGAGTGAGAATTTGGCTGCCAACGCCAGTTGAAATGCAGAGAGAGTAGCTGAATCATTGCCAGTGAGCAGGAGATCGTCGACATAGACCAGGAAGTAGAGAGTAACCCCAGCTCGATGATAAACAAATAAGGATTCATCGGAGTGAGATTTCCTGAACCCAAACTCAACAAGAAAGGAACTGAGGGCTGTGTACCACGCACGTGGAGCCTGGCGAAGGCCGTAAATGGCACGGCGAAGACGACAAACATGAGTGGGATGATCTGGGTCAACAAAGCCAGGAGGCTGGACCATATATACCTCATCCTCCAGCGGCCCTTGGAGAAATGCATTGTTGACGTCAAACTGCTTAATCGGCCAGTGATGAGACAAGGCAATGGTGAAAATCGTGCGAACGGTGACAGGTTTGATCACGGGACTGAAGGTGTCCGTGAAATCAATACCGGGTCGCTGGTGAAAGCCTTTCGCAACCAGCCGACATTTGAAGAGATTTAATGAACCATCAGAGTGATGTTTGATGCGATAGACCCATTTGTTGCCAAGGACATTAAAATGCGGCTGCCGAGGAACAAGATCCCAAGTGTGATTTTGGAGCAGAGCGGTGTGTTCTTTGCGGAGGGCCGCATCCCACTCTGAGTACTGCATGGCCTCACGAACAGAGCGGGGCTGAAGCGGAGGTGAGCGGGTGGTATGATCCACTGTGAATAACTTCTTGGGTTTGTATATACCATCCTGGGCCCTGGTTGTCATGCGATGCGTCCGAAGGAGCGGAGGAGGTTCAGTGGGCCGCGTGGTGGAGGGACTGGGCGAGGAAATCTCAAGCCCAGCCTGCTGGGTCGGCCCAGGAGATGAGAGGGAGCCTCTGTCAGCGGAAGAGGAGGGTGTAAGCCCAGATCCTAGGGGCGGCCCAGAACTGGACGGCAGGCCACTGGCGGCGGAAGCCACAGGCGCGGGCCTTGGAGCAATGGTTGGCCCAGTGGCCATCGATGGGCCTCGGTCGGCTGAAGAGGAGGGCTCGGGCCCAGACAGGGAGCCTCGGTTGGCTGAAGAGACAGACGCGGGCCTAGGAGGCCCAGGCGGTGACGTGGCGTGCGAAGGACCAGACGCGCGAGGGGCAGTAGGCGAAGGGGGCTGGGTCGCATGATGGGTTGAGGCCCATGAAGGGGAAGACGCACAATGGGTGGGCCGAGATCAGTGAGCCAAGACTCAACAATAGAAGAATCTGCAGGAGGATTAGAAGTGTAACCAGGAAAAGAATGTTCGACAAAACGCACATGACGAGAGAGAAAAATACGGTGAGTGTCGGGATCAAAGCACCTGTAGGCACTACGTTGAGGGCAGTAACCAATAAAGATACAAGGACGAGAACGAGGGTCAAGTTTGTGTGTGGAGTAAGGACGTAACCAAGGATAACATAAGCAACCAAACACACGAAGCTTATGATAATTAGGAGCAAGATTGAAGAGGGAAGTGTATGGAATTAGTCCCCGCAAGGCAGAGGAGGGGAGGCGGTTAATGAGATAGATAGCAGTAGAAAATGCAAACGACCAAAAAGACGTAGGCAAACGAGCATGGTGCAGGAGAGTGATACCCGTTTCAACAAGATGGCGATGTTTACGCTTAGCCAAGCCATTATGCTCTGGGGTATGAGGTGGTGTGAGCAGATGACTGATCCCATGATCGACCAATGTGGAACACAATTTTTGGAACTCACCACCACCATCGGAGTAGAGACGACGAGAGGTCTTGTGTTCGATTCCCGGTGACCCCCATTTGTTAAGCACATGGTATTCTTGTCTTCAGACCTGTGCAAACTTCAAGCCCTTGTGAGTGGCTTTCGTTTGAGGGGGCGTGTTAGTGTTGTGGTATATGATCCACGATTGAACCTCTCCCAACAACTCGAGTTATTGGGATCAACTGGTTATTGACATGGTATCAGAGCTGGTTTGGCCAAATGGTCGTGTGTTCGAATCTCCACGACCCCCAATATTAACAGTTGATTAAAGCACAAGGTATGGTGGGCCTGTGCAAACTTCAAGCCCATGGGTTGGCTTTCGTTTGAGAGGGCGTGTTAGAGAATGACATAAGATCCAGGAGAACCTTCTCCCAACAACTCGAGTTATTGGGACCAACTGGTTCATGACACAAGCGATCTCGAGCAACTCGGCCTCGGTTATGGTCGCGACGCTGCCGAAGCTGACATAGAGAACTGATCTGGGTGCTTGATTGTTCAGCCAGGAGATGGAGGTTGGATCCTGCGCGAGCAAGCTGCTTTTCGAGGTGCACGGAAAGTGTTTGTAGAAAGGCCCCAGAGAAAAGTTGGGAACTTTGAACAGCTCGGAGCTCTTTATTAGGTCGGAATGTTCCAGGTCCCGGCAGGTGTTCCAGATGAGCCCTGACGAGGCTTTGATTGAACTCATCATGCTATCTACCAGATAAAATAGGTCTTCTTGGTTCTGCGTCTTCACTTGTGGGAGATCCTTAGCTTTCAGAGGTGGGAACTCGGGGATTTCTTCTTCTGCCTTGGAGTCTATAAAGCAAACAACCCAGAAAAGCAATTGAATTCATTTGCAACTTTAGATGATTGACTGAAATTTTTACTCAAATTCAGAAATTGGGTAAAAGTCGTAGCTTGTTACCTTTAATAGGGAAGTAACCTTTCTGGTGGAACAACGGAAGGGGTTCGTAAACAAGGAAAGAGCAGACATTGGTTGTTCTAAGCACAATCCTGGGGAGATGGAGGCTGTCAGCAACCGCCTGAGTGAAGTGCCAATCAGCATCAGTAATAAGGCAAGCAACAGGCTCTTCCTCTGAGCTTTCAGATATCAACTTGACCAAGGCTCCATGGAATGGCGCGGCGCAAGTGATGTTGGTCGAGGTGAGAAGTGCTATGACATCTCCTATCGGCCAGGCAAGCTGATTGGCTTGTTCCTCTGATAAGCCAATGCGGATGGAGTGGAAGGTGAAGTCAGGGTAGTTGGTTGAATTGGGAGAGTTGAAGTCGGTGTGTATTACGGTAATGGAGAACCCTCTGGAGTAGAGGATGTTGGCAAGTTGAAGCATGGGGTTGATGTGGCCCTGGAATGGCAATGGAAAGAGCAAGACCCGGCGGCCTTTCTTCAGCTTCATATGAGACTCTCGCAGGTTCAGATTCTCCATGGAGCTTAACTTCTCTTTTTACTGCTGCAGCTTACTTCTCTCACTCTTCAGCGCCCTTTGTATGGCAGTGGAAGCGGTAGGTATCAGATGGGAAGGCCAATTGGATTACGGAAAAGAGTTATTGGTTTCAAAGTAAGGTCTTTGTTTGATTAATCCATGCTGGCTGCTATCTGGTGTTATAGTGTCACTTGTCATTGGATTGCTCACATAACAAGACAAGACAAAGGTGGAGATTTGGCAGAATACGGCTGTGATGTATTTGAGATCTCCCACGTCTTTCAAGTTAGATCCATTGACAAAAATGATAAACAAATTCAGCTGATACTATTGCAATTTGCCTTCTTCCTTGTTTGAGCAGAGGAACATGTTCTGATAATGGTTGTTTGAGGAGCAGCAGCTGGTTCTGAGGCTGCCAGCCTGTTGATTGCTCCTAGTTATGTGTCATATACTGCTCCACTCGTTCCCTTGTGTCAGGTAGGGATAGGTGATTTCAGTGAGAGGGAAAAACAACAAAACATGAAGTCGCGAGTTTTGGCTTTCCATTGCTTTCCGTTGCTTGTGTTATGTTGTGATTTCTCTTTGTTATTTGGCCTTACTCACCTGTTCTGTCGTTGTTCTGAATGGTCATTTCGTGTACATATGTCCCTTCCCCTGTTTCTTGTTTTTGGTTCCATTGGTGCTCTATTCACCTTTAATAAGTTCCGTAGCCATTAAATTGGGGTAAATGAAAATACGTATTGGATATTGTTTATACTTTAAATTGGGGTTGAAAGTTACAAATTAGTCGATGAAGAAAGTTTATTCAGCTCTATGATCAACAAGAAAGATTTAAGCAACTGTGGGGCATTCTGCAGAGTCCTAACTCCTTGATTTCCCCGAGTACTGAAAGCTAAGTACCATCATCGGAGTTCGCTGCTGGAAGCGAGTTTGGGATACCGGCCAAGTTTCATGTGGCGGAGTTTATTGAGCGTCCAAGAATTTCTCTGCACCGGACTGCGCTGGAAAGTGGGAAACGGTGCGTCCATTAGAGTGTGGGGTGATCGTTGGATACCATCGCTGCCAAACTTTTTTTTCCCTTCAGCGCCAACGGGGCTCCACTTAACGGCAATGGTCAATGAACTAATAGACTGCAATATTGCCTGCTGGGACAAAGGGGTATTGGAGACATGTTTCCCTACGGAAGTGGTGCAAGCAATTTGCCAGATTCCCATCTGTGGCCATGGGGAAAGTGATAGAATGGTGTGGGCTTCTAGTGTGGATGGGAAGTACACTGTCAAAGGAGGCTATCATGCATGACTAGAAACATTCCGCCAAGATCAGAACTTGCAACAAGGGGGAACCGGAAATATGGTCTCGTCTTTGGGCCATGAAGATCCCACCGAAGATCAAACATTTCATGTGGCGCTTTGCTAGAGACGTGTGACTCGCTATGACACAACACCTAACAATGGCCAAGTGTAACAATGGAAGGGACTGCAGTATAGTGGCTCAAGTGATAAATATCGAATCCACGGGTCTCTAGAGTTACTATTACTCAGCTTCAGTTTATTATTTAGCAAACCATATCAAGATGAAAGAACTAAAACTACTCTAGCAAACTACAGTTAAAGTTAATCTAATTACAGGTTGGGAACTAACTTAGGTATGATTCCCCCTAGCCACTAGCCAGACTAACGATTGATGATTTCTAACTTGTTTCACTTTCATTCACAATGCGGAGAATCCTTGACTAGACCTTGAGTCTTGACTAAAGGAACAAGGCCCTCTTGAGTCAATTGCCTAGAGGGACGTATCCTTCTATAGAACAACTGATCAAGGCGTTCTGAACTAGACTCCCTCTATCGAAAGAGGTTCTCAATCGATACAAAGCAGTGAATCAACCCTCGACTAAAGCAATCGATCCACTACTATCAATCTATGGTGCTCTATTGACCTAATCAGGTCTTCCCTCTCATAGGATCAAAGCAGAATCAATAATCTTGACTAAAGCAGAATTGAATCATGAAAACATGCATAGATTGAATATGAACTCAAGATTATCAAGTCAAAGTAATCATACAATCATCCAATCAAACAAACATAGCTAGGGTTCCTCAAAACCTAAGTGAAGGGAAGTTACTCCATAGAGAAGAGAGAGACTGCAGTAAGAATCTTCAGATGATCAGTCTTCAAGTCCGGGCTTGTTCCTCGAGCTTCCAAGGAAAAGAAATCCTCCAATTCCACTCCAAGAATGCCCTCAAATCGCCCTCTCTCTCTTTGGTTCGTCCCTAGGGTGTTTGGGATCCAAAACCCAGCTCTCCCTTTGCAAAAACGCACAAAACAGGCTTTTAACAGCCTGTGTTCGCGATCCCCGGTCAAAATACCCGGTAGGGTATTTTAGGTCACGACAGGGGATTTTTTGGTTCACGATAGGGGATTTTTGGGTCAAGACCGGGGATTTTGGTTCACGACCGGGGAATTATGGTTCACGATAGGGGATTTTTGGGAAAATCCCCTATCAAGGCCAAAAATCCCCTACCGGGGATTTTAGCTTCACGATAGGGCCCCCTTCTGTTTCTCAGAGAAGCCCGAAACCAATTTTCCCCTATCTTTGATTCTTCGTTTCTCCCTCGTTCGGACTCCAAATCAGGTGTCGTTTGATCCCAGACGCTCGTAGTCTCGTCCTCTTTCTTCTCATGACAAGATTACATGATTATATGGTCACAAACTGAGGTAGAAATCCCTTCTTCTTCAAGTCATACCCGAGTTTCTCCCCCCGAGTCGCCAATTGATCTCCGATTGACTTGAAACTTGCGCCTACGCTTCACTTTATGTGCTAGGACCTGAAATGTGACAAAGGAACACAACCTAGCGTAAAATAGGCCAAAGAAGCAATAATGCAAGCTTAAACGATCAAGAAACAAAGGGGAAAACATGTGCAAATATCGAGTCATCAACGTGCTCCCTACCGGCGACAAGGTAAGTCATCGCATCCCGAGCAAAAGTGGAAACTTCCCTTTTTGTAACCTACCCGAAAGCCAACAACATATATTTGGAGATTGTAGCTGGGTTACAAGAATTTGGGGAACGTCCACGGTTGTTAAGTGCTTTGACCTGCGGCCGACCGGAATTTGTATGGATTGGTTGAAGATTGTACAAGAAGAAGTCAATGAGACGTTCTTGACGCAATGGTGTGTACTGTTGTGGTACCTCTGGAAGGAGCGAAATGCTCAGCTGTTTAATGGGGTCAAAATACCGGAAGGCGAGATTTTCATGAGAGCCAAATTATATATTGAAGAATACCAGGCTCAACAGGACTGTCATGCCAGTCCCCATGTGATTCCACGAACCATGGAACACTGGAGAAGGCCGCCGATGGGGAAAGTGAAAGTGAACACAGATGCAGCAATGTTGGAGGGCGGAGGAATAAGGATGGGTGTAGTCATTCGTAATGACCAGGGAGCTTTTCTCATGGCTGTTGTGAAGAAAATCCGAGGTCAGTGGCAACCTGAAATGGCCGAGGCGTTGGCGGCAGAATTTGGGGCGCGACTAGCTAGTGTGCATGGGTACAATAACATTATCCTAGAGGTGGATTGCCAATCGTTGGTCAGCAAGCTTGAAGTAGCGAACTATGTGATGAGCGAAATTGGGACGCTCTGCAGAAGTATACGCAGGTATCTTTCTGGGCCGGTTGGTGGGAGCTGGAATCATTCACGAAGGGAGTCGAATACAGTAGCACATGTGTTGGCTCGAGGAGCTCGTGAATGGGATAGTGAATTTATTTGGTTTGGTAGCCCTCCTGGGATTATTGTAGCTCAGCTGGAGCAAGACACTCTTCATAGCCTCACAACGTAATAATATTCTTACAGGTTTACGTAAAAAAAAGAAAGATGAATGCTTTTTTACCAAAAAAAAAAAGATTAAGGCATCCAATGCTCGGTTTCTAACCAAGGGTTATTAAACCATTAGGTATCGTCAATCGAACAACAAAAATCTTCTACTACCATCCAAACTTGCTTGTTGTCTGACCCGTTGGTCGGAATGTCATTTGAACACAATGTATTTATGATGTGTATTTAAATTTTTTAAATTAATTGAAATGTTGAATTTCGTATTTAAGGTGACATCAAAATTATTTTTCCATTTCCGAAATTCTTATAACTTTTCATCAATGGTGAACATTGTAATCTTAATGGTTATAACCAAAGTTCTCAAATCGGTTTAAATCGTTGAGTCAATCAAGCAAGTGGTTTAAAGTTTAATGGTTTGATTGAGGTCCAACCTGTTTGAGCCGTTTTACACCTTTTATAAATATATCTCTCTCTAAGTATATTTATAGCCCAAAGTTTTTTTTCTTCCCCTCCATTTCAAATTTCCTGCAACGAGAATGAAAGTAGGAAGAACATTTTGGTCTTCACAATTACTTATTTCCTTCTTATTATTCACAAAAAAGGCACATACTAGGATTTGAACCGTGGTCACTCTTAAGAAAAGCAAGGAGTATGACCAATCACACTAAGTATACTTGTTGTACATTTTTAAATTAAAATATACACGAACCTAAAATCTAAAAACCATATGACTTGTTTTTTATAATTCATCTGCATTCCAAGTTTAAAGTTCAGTGACTACATTGCAATCTTTCAGAAGTAAAGGGACTAAAATGACAGGTGGCCGAGAGAGCCAAATTTTAGTATCATCTATCAATCGTGCCATCTCGTGAGCACAGGCATTTCCTTCGCTCCCCCAAAACCTCCAATCGACATTTCCTTCTTCTTCTTCTTCTGCAATATCTTGGATCTCGTCGCAAATCACCGCCACCTTCATCTCAGTAGCCTCCCGCCGATTGAGTTTCTGAATCAGGGATTGACAATCCGACTCCAACAACAGTGGCAAGGAATGGTGCGCTCGAGCCTGCTTCGGCCATTTCAATCGACCATCGCATCCGGTGAGTTGCTCCCATTAAGAAATTACCATCACTATCCCTTAAGATCATCCCATAACCCGTTTCTTCTTCTCCTAGGATCGCCCCGTCCGTGTTCAGCTTGAAGATTCCATCTAGAGTGGGCTCCCATTTGAGCCTAACCCG